TACATGCATATGAACTTTAATGGCATCCCAGTCTTGGTCCATAGGGTTCAATATTGAGTTGGCCCGCCCTTTGCAGCCATAACAGCCTTCTGGGAAGGCGTCCACAAGGTTTAGGAGTGTGTCTATGGGAATGTTTCACCATTCTTCCAGAAGAGCATTTGTGAGGTCAGGTACTGATGTTGGAGGAGAAGGCCAGTCAAGTTCCTCCACCCCAAACTCGCTCATCCATGTCTTTATGCACCTTGCTTTGTGTACTGGTGCGCAGTCATGTTGGAACAGGAAGGGGCCATCCCCAAACTGTTCCCGCAAAGTTGGGAGAATGAAATTATCCAAAATGTCTTGGTATGCTAATGCCTTAAGAGTTCCCTTTACTTGAACTAAGTTCCAAGCCCAACCTCCTGGAAAAAAAACCCAAAACCATAATCCCCCCTCCACCAAACTTTACACTTGGCACAATGCAGTCAGGCAAGTACCGTTCTCCTGCCAACCGTCAAAATCAGACACGTCCATCGGATTGCCAGACAGAGAAGCGTGACTCTTCACTCCAGAGAACACGTCTCCACTTCTCTAGAGTCCAGTGGCGGCGTGCTTTACACCACGGCATCCCACGCTTTGCATTGCACTTGGTGATGTAAGGCTTGGATGCAGCTGCTCGGCCATGGAAACCCATTCTATGAAGCTCTCTCCGCACTGTTGTTGTGCCAATCTGAAGGCCACACACAGTTTGGAGGTCTGTAGCTATTGAAGGCTGTGACACACTGCACGTGAAGCAGTGCGGTGCCGCGCTGCCTTTGCGAGCAGTGTGTCATGTAATTTTCTCCCCGGCACGTCAGCTTGTGAGAGCTCGCTCGCATAGCTGAAAAATTTCATCTTCAGCCAATCAGCTTGCGCAACAGGATGCGGCATCCGGTTGTTACGCACGAGCCGATTGGCTGAAGGTGCAGTCAATCATCTGCCTGCACTCATCTCACACACTGCGTGCAAAGCTCCGTGCCAGACAGCTTTGCTTCTCTCTGCACGGCCTTGCGTGCAGTGTATCACAGGCTTGACTCTGCAGACAGATGGCGACTTGTGCGCACAGTGCGCTTTAGCATGCCCTTTCACTTTTCTGTAATTTTACGTGGCCTACCACTTCGTGGCTGAGTTGCTGTTGTTCCCAGTTGCTGGATTCCCCGCTCCGATCCGCCAGCGCTGACTGGCGGAACTGACGGGGGAGGGGGCAGGTACAGCTGGCTCTGCCTCTAGATAGGCAGAGCCAGCTGTCAGTCACGCAGCTGGGCGGATCCAGACATAATTGTCGGGATCCGCTTCAGCTGCGGTGTCTCAGTATACCGCGAGCTACAGCTCACGGTATACTGAGCCTAGGGTGACGGGAGAACGCTAGTTTGTGTCCTCCCGTTACCCTAAGGAGAACTATGGGGAAAAGCGTTAACCCCATAGTTCTCCTTTAATGTCTCTATGCAGTCTGGAATTATCTTTGTGCATGTGTACAGCCATATACTGTATGCTCATTAGATATGTAGGCTGTGCTTACTTAGTGCTCTCCGGATCTTTTTCTCTCACTCTATGCCCTATTGAAAACAAGCGACTCCGCAGTCTCTAATGACATAAAACATCTACAATGCTCTTGGTGACTAGAGACCATGTGATCTGAGCTGTCTAGGCTGGAAGCACATTGAACACCAGTTATCTGACCACGACAAGCCAGAGGTGGTTTTAACACAACATAATTATTTGGGAATGCTGACTTGTGACCTATTGATTCATGTGAACTTCAATTACAGGTCAACTGATCTGGAAAATCTCACCAACCTGAAAGACTATT